GGTTGAGGTATTCGGCTTCCTGATTACCATGGCGGACTGGGGTGGGTTTAGGCGTTGGGGCTGGGAGCGGCTCGAGCGGCTAGCGGCGTCCTCGTCGGGGTGGGTGGTTGGCGCTGAGGTGCTTCTCTCGTCCCCTGTTCTTCTCCGAATCCTTGGTGTGAGGTCGGTGGGGTTTCCGGTACGCCGATATTTGCCAGTGGTGTTGGCGGATTTCGTGTGCTGTGGTGTGGGGGGTGGGTTACCCTTAGTTTGGCCGATCTTAGCCGGTAGTCGTGCGCGGTGGCTGGAGTATTGAAGCCTTTCGACCTCCCGTCTCCTCCGTTCTCTGGTTTTGGGTCTGGGGGGGTGCCGGTGTTGCCGAACTCGTCTAGTGGTGTTGGCCGATTTCGGAACAGTGGTGGTGTGGGGAGTGTTTAGGTTTCTTTTCGGCTGAACGGCGGTAGATCTTCAGATTTGGTTCGGGGCTTGATTTTCCGTCTCAGTTAGGCATTTAGGCAGTTTCGGGGGCGGTTCTCAAGTTGCGGACCACTTTTGGGGTTCGTCTTTTGTCCACTGGTTTTGGCTCTCTCTAGCTGTTGAGGAAGAATTTGTTTTGTGTTGATGTTTTTATTTAGTTATTATTTGTTTGTGTGTTGTGTTGTTAGGTAGGGATTGTGTTTTTGGTCTGGGCCGTTGGCCTCTGTACTGATTATCCGGTGGGGGCCGTTCCTATTCTCATGTGGGGAGCTTGGTAGTTTTGTGTTTAGGTGTTTGTCAGGTTGAGTGTCTTGTGTTTTTGTTTTAGCGTTGCTAGCGTGGATTCTAGACGGTCTTATGATCCGTCCTCCCAGTTTTTTCAGCTTTTAGTTGTAATATTCAGCTAGGGGTTGTATCTTTGCACAGTTGTGCACTTTTATCTATAATATCTCTATCGTTTCGGAAAAAAAAAAAAGAGAATTGTATGACCAGGAAGGTTTGACTATCGGTGTCTGTATTGAAGTTATTGATTTTTTTACTGTTGAATCAATACATACATACATATATATACTCACATGAGTGTATTGATCCAACGGTAAAAAATTCAGTGACAAAATGAAATCCTCCCTTTAATCAAGCTCTATATTTCCCATATGGCCTAAATCTCATTTGACTCTACTAGGTATAAATGTTGCAATCTCTTTACTTTTTGTGGTTTTGGTTTTATAAACGTGTCGCCAACTACAAATGACATTGAAGGGGTAGGTTTAGCTTTTAGTTTATCTTCAAACAATTGATGTTAGCATTTACATTTTAAAATCTTTTATTTATCCATATATGTACTATGCAAGTCAAATGTAAACTGGTCAATAGATGATTAATTCACAAATCATATATAAAACATGAAAGTTATGGACTTTTAAAGTGTATTAATAATAGTTTAAGTTAATCAAATATTTTATTAGTTTAAAAATTTTTACATACATGGATAAAAGAACAGGATTGCAACAAAGCATTGTAAATTGACACTTAAGATTATAAAATATAAAATATTCTATAAAATTGCGAAACAATATATTAATTCGAGAAACAAATCTATTTCATAATTTGGTTTGTCTAAACAATACTGCTTTAGAGTTAGGTTTGATATTTGACATAAATATTTTTTATTGCAATTTTGGTAAGTACGCATTTATTTTTGTCCAAAATTCTTTTTCCTAGATCAAATATAACCATATATTATTTATTCTCATTTAGTTTATTTGTTAAATACCATATTTTTTTATAATATTTTTAAAGTTAGTAATTTTCTTATTTAAATTTTCTTTTTCAATTATGATTTATCAAATTAATAATCTTTTGACAATCTTTGATTTGACCATATCACATATGCAAATTTAAAAATAATTTTACACATCTTTATAAATATTTTAGTTTAATTATCAAACCAAATTAAAAGAGTACAACTGTAATTGTTGTACTTAAAAAATCACATATGATCTATCCCGACCCATTAAGCCAAGGAGTACGTAAATTGGGTCTATTTGTGAATTGGACTCAAGTTACGGAAAAGTACAACCCAAGAATACACGTCACGAATCCCTTGACGATCTACATTTAGGCCTCGAACGTCGATCCTCTAAACATTTACCTTCCACTAATGATTGTCAATCCCTCTGTATTATGAACAAGAACTCATAGAACTAGTAAAGTAAACCGATAAAACGACTACACAGTCAATTTCATCATCAAAAGATAAATTTTTGTATTGGTATGTGGAAAACAACCAATTACTTAGAAAAATCTATATACTACTATGCTCCCTTTTGTGTCGATCTATCATTACATACTGACTATTTATCCTTGCAATATTCAAATTTATTTTCAAGTATAAACCTCTATTTGCACGCCCTTAATCCACTTAATAATTGTCTTATTTACAACTAAAAACCTTTACTCCTAACCAACAATAATCAATAATCCCGCAGTTAAGTATTTTCTATTACATTATTATTGTTGATCTCTTTCGTCAATAGAAACTATATTATCTTATAAAATAAAAAAATATTTAGATAAATATATCATAAGATTTTTTTTTCTATAGTTTTAAAAAAAACGACACAAAGTTAATTATTTGACAAAATTATGATATCCATGTGACTTATTTTTTAAATTACAGAATACTTAATTAGAGTTTTCTTATTATAATTTTTACGTGTCAATAATTTATTACTCGGGTATTTTGGCATATTTATTTTTTATTTTTATTTTTATTTTTTTTTTTTTTTTTTATTTTGTTAGTCTTTATGTTGTTATTTCTCTAGTTTGTTAAGAATTTAGGGTGATTTTAAGATATGTACTCAAAATAATTTATAATTTACAGAATCTAATCAAGTTATTAAAGTAACCACTTCCAGTTCAATTAAAATTGATTCTGTAATTAAAATATCAACATTACGTTATTATAACTATTTTTACTTTATTTAGCTTGTATTCTTATTTAAAATAATATAAAACGTGCTAGATTAACATATTACTTTATTATATTTTTCTACTTTATTATTTTTTGGTTACAATTGCAGGAGTGTTTTAACTTATTTCAATACATGTACATATAATCTATATATATCTATATATATATAATAAGAATTACCATTTACTAAAAATAGTAGCAAAAAAATAGGTCAGAATTTAATGCAGCCTATAAATAGTAAGTTTTATTATTTTTTTTATTTTTCTCTTTAAAAATCATAATGTTGCCTTAAATTTCGGGCTTTAGTTCATTTTTTTATTTAAAAAATCCGATTAAGATTTATTAAGTGTGTATGTTTTTATTTTTATTTTTTTCTTAGAAACAACGAACAACATTAAAATCTCGGTCTCTATATTTATAAAATCTCAGTTTAAAATATAACAAAAGTTTTAGAATCTCGGTCTTTATATTTGTGCTCTTAAAAAAAATATTGAACGCTAAAAATATTCTTTAAATTACATAATCAATCAATTAATCTTAATTTTTTGAAAATCACTATGTTTATTTTTTATTAATATGCATAAAGTAAAAATAATGAATTCATCTTTAGATATATAATTTATAATCTTAATATACTATCATTTGGTGTAAACATTTATTATATGAATCATAAAAAAATTTTATTTCATAAAATTAAATATATTTAAAGAAATTAAGAAAATTTCTTTGGATCAATCAGGTGATGAATTAGAGTACTGCTCATGTTAATTGAATTACTTCTAGGTAATATTTAAAATAGTAAACAAACTTGACACAACTTGGTTCGTCATAGGTGACTAAGTTATGTATCAGTTCGACCACACAAAATCGATTATTGAACGTAAATATAAATTTTATATTGAAAATATTTTATTACGTGAATGTGATGTAGTCCAAACTTCAAATAATCCTATTAACAATATTATAACAACATGTTTAATGATTTATGAATATTTATATATCATTTTATTAATATTTATGTGAATTAAATAGTATTTATCAATGTACAATAAATATAGGGTTTTAAGAACTGAACCGTCATCGAAACGATCAAGCTATTTTATTAAATCATTTGTGGTTATTCAAATTTTAATTTAATATATATATATATATATATGTATAGTACTTTTTGTAATAAATTTAAATAAAATGTGTTACTTAGATATCTAAATAATTTAAACTAATTGATAAATTATTTTGTATAATCGCTATTTTATTTAAAATAGTTTTAAATATAACAAAATTTATGTAGAAAATCGTATCGATCCTACCAGTCCAACCGACTGGTGTTGACGGATTCGAGAACAAATATTTTATTCAAGCGAACTAGACTGGTTATAAACCGGTTCTCGGTCCATCCGGTCGGACTGTGTCCAACCCGGTTTAATTTAAAAACAATGAATAAATCATGATTAATGTTATTTGTATATTTAATTTATAATACAATCGTAATATTATTTTCTCGTGCATCGCACGGGCCACGCACTAGTAATTAAAAAAAAACATATAAAGTCATAGCGATTCAATTAATGTAGTTCGTAAGTATAATATAACATGTTTGAAAAGAATTTTAAAAACCTCAAAATCAAATTACCAGAGTAATAAATAATATTTGTCTCAGATATATAACTTTATAAATGTAACTAAAATGATTATCATTTTTTACAATTTGAGGATAGAAAACGTTTGTCTTTTAAATTATTATGTCTATAATTTATTCATTGTTTGTTGTAATTTTTATTTCAGAATAAGAATATAAATATTTTTATATATTCAACTATTTTATCATACAATATGTTTTTCGAACATCGTACTAGTTGATCTTTAATTCCAAAATGAGGAAAAAGATTAAAAATAAAAAGGAAATATACAACAATTTTTTAAATTGATTATTGGGCAGTGTAGGTAGACCGCGAATAGACGATACAAACTCATACGATAATTATTTTTTTGAACGAATATTGACATAAATTTATTATTTAATTACGAGTATATAAAAAGAAATTAATTAAAAATAAATAAATGTGCCAATCCAAAATATCATTTCCTACTCTGTCTAATTTTTGTTTTCGTGTCGTTCTGCTCAGTTTCTTTGGATTTTCTCCTCTCTTTCAAACCCTCCATTAAAACCGATCTCCATTTTTCTCTCTCAATCGATTTCCTTGTAATAAGGTTGCATTTTTTCAATTTCTTCTTTTTTTATTTGAATAAATTATACAAGCAGGCCGTGGAGATCAGGATCTCCGCCGTGCCTGGCCGGAAGGAGATGTGGTATCTTCCGGTCGTAATTCCGGCGGTTGAGAGACAAATCCAGCTGAAAACGATCGAGTTGTGCTGAATGAGAAACGGAATTCTGGTGTAAATCCTATACAAAAATAATTGAGAAATAAAAGAGAGAATAGAAGATACATGTAGTTAACGTGCAATGTAGGGAAAACAGCAAGAAAAAAATGAAGAGTGAGAAAGGCATCGAGGAAGCTTTGGAGGAGGTAATTTGCACGGCACAGATACCTAGATCTCTTCTGAAATCTCCTTACCCCTTGCCTTTTGCCGCAATTTATTCCTTTTTGCCAATTTTACATTCTGAGTGATTCTCTCCTTTTCTTTTTCTTATCTCATTTGAATTTCTGTACCAATTTTGAAACCCTCGTGTTATCTTCTCCTACCCCTGCGTGGTTCCATTTCGTTAGAGTTGTTTTGCTGCTTTATCTGTTTTTCTGAGTTACTCGAGATGGCGTTGTAGTTTGGAGGTGAGTTCGTCTTTCAAATTTTTGTGTTGAACTCTTGTGGTATTTTCAGTTGTCTGGACTTCGATCTTTCCAGGATTTTGATTTTTTAGGTTCCAAGGTAGCTACTTTTTTGTTGTCCGACGGTTTCTTCTGTGTGCACAATGATGAATTTTAGCGTAATGACCATAATTTTGCAGATGAGAGGGTTTTGTCAGGATTTAAGTTTGTTTGATCTGATTTTTCCGTTTACTTTGCCTTCTTGTTCATTTTGATCTGTGAAGTTTCAAGCTTGTGTGTGTGTGTGTGTGTCTATCTGTCACGGGGGAATTGGACTCTGTAAATCCCCTTTTTCTTTTTCTTTTTTTTTGTTAGTTTCTTTTTTATTTAAATAAATTCGAATTGAGTAAAAGTTTGTTCCCAATTAATTATCATTTTCAGTTCTAAGATTTTAAATGCAACTATTATCATCGGACTTCATTTAGACAGTGGTGTTGTTTTAGCACCATCTTTTTGGAGTGAAATATGTCAATGAAGTCCTATGATAACAGTTGCTTCACTCCAAAAATTTCTGTGACATTGTTTTTTAGCTTGTAATCTAAATATATCTGTGGCATTGTTTAGCTTGTTTAGACATTGTTTAGACAGATATTGTTTTAGCTTGTAATCTAAATGAATTTTCTTTGCCAGCAACCAAAATATATCTGTGACATTGTTTCTTGTTAGACATTCGTTTAGATTACAAGCTTACTTTACTTGCCTTCTTGTTTCTTCATACGTCTCATTTCTTTAATTTTCACACGTGAACTTGTGAATTTTGTGCGCAGGTTCTCGGTGAGGTGGAATCTTCTTGAACTTTGCAACAGAATCAATGTGTTTTTGCTTTCATTGAAGCCAAGAACACAGCTTCTTTTGAGAAGACCACGCAGGAGATATCTGAAATTATGAACTCTCGGGGATTTTCTCCATCTTTCTTTTCTGAGGAGGTGTGTTTGTCTGATGAGGTACCCCAGTGTGATGTTGAACATCTTTAAGAAAAGTTATATATTTTTTCCGTACACATTGCTGTAAAACTGTAGTTACTATTTAATTATTTCTCTGGTTAATTTGTTCCATTTGATTGATTAACACGATTATTTCTTCCAAAAATTGCAGAGACTGCTTGGTGTAAGGAAGACGGACCACATGACTAGTTACTCTGGTAAGTAGTCAAGAGTTCCTTGTTACAGGTTGTTCTGGTTAAGCTCATGCACAGCATGCTATGAAAGTTTTTGGATGTTTCTGTCCTTTTCAGTTGCACATTTTCCCGTCATTCAAGCTGTTGGGAGTGAGGCCTTTTTCATTAGCCTGTCGTATATGTATAGGCTCCATTTATGCTACTATTTCCTCAGAAAAATCATTATAAGCGGTTGAAAATTAATGTTCTACTGCGGTTTTTTTATACATTAACACCACTATAAATATAATCATCATGCAGTTGATTTAACTTGAAATTTTTTATTGAAAAGTGACAATGTGATTCATTTGGCACTTACGGCCATTTTTAATAAATTGATTACTAAGCCGAAGCGTCAACATGATAGCAGTCTCCTGGTTCAAATTCTATGGCCAGTTACCAGAAAGCTGGCAGAATTCATTAGTAACGTAGTGGTTCAAACTTGTGTTGGCTTCTGTTGATTGTGACATTTGATGTCCTGACTGTCTCTTGTTAAAAAGTTGACTCTTTATGGGCTTTGTTGCTTCTTCAGTTCAAGTTACACCGATTTCTCAACTTAAAAGCACATGGAAAATGCAATTTGGGTCTGTATCTAGGTTTTTTGGGTCTTTCTTAAACTCTTCCAAACATATGCCATGAAGTTTCTGTCTGTATCTAGGCTTTTTGGGTCTTTCTAAACTCTTCTAAATTTGCAAAGAATTGGCAGGTCTAAAACCAAATGCTGCTGCTTCGTCACCTCTTGAAAATCGAATCCAAGTGGATTCACAAATTGCAAAGGGTTTTATTCATCCTGACTATTATCTCAATCGTGTTCGAGATGCTAATCTATTAGGGAAACAAATTGTTGCAGCAGAAAGAGCAGCCAGTCGTTCCTTGCCATGTGCAGTTGACCATGATCTAGGTTCTAGAATTAATTTGAATATGGACTCTGGTTCATATTTTTTCAATGCAGAAAAAGTAAATCTGATGGGTGCTCAGCATGAGAATGGTCTTTTTTCAAGTTCAGTGTCGGATTTATTCAGTAGAAAATGTATGTCCTTTTTACACAGTTGTCTTAAAGTCATTGAATATCTGAAGTTGAACCATGTCATCGTCTGATTACCCTGTTCCTTCTTCATTCTTATTTCTTGCAGTAAATCTATCTCCAAATGATGCTGCATATAGTCACTCCGGTGCTGCTGCTCCTGCTCTTGCTCCCTCACATTATGAGGAAGAGGAGGCTTTTGAATCACTTAAAGAACTTGAGGCGCAAACTATTGGTAATCTTCTCCCTGATGATGATGACTTGCTTTCTGGTGTGACAGATGGGTTTAATAACTCCATTCGACCTGATAATGGGGAAGATATGGAAGATGACTTGTTTAGCAGTGTTGGAGGACTGGAACTTGGGGAAGATGGATTTTCTCGAAGAAATTATAAACTTTCTGATGTTAATTCTATTAATCAAATGCTAATGTGTGTGGGTACCAATGGTGGGGAACACCCGTATGGTGAGCACCCCTCAAGGACGCTCTTCGTCAGAAATATAAATAGCACTGTTGAAGATTCTGAGCTGCAAACCATTTTTGAGGTAAACAGTGATGGCCTTTTGTCACCTCTTGTGATTCAGTCATTTTCTTTGTCTGATTATTTGAATTTTGTTTTAAATTTAGCAATTTGGAGATATCTGCACCTTGTACACTGCATGCAAGCATAGGGGATTTGTTATGATCTCCTATTATGATTTAAGAGCAGCATGTAATGCGATGAAAGCACTCCAATATAAACCACTAAGGAGTAGGAAGCTTGATATACATTTCTCAATTCTGAAGGTAACATTTCTGTCGTGCATATTTTGAATTTCTCTATCCATTCTGGTTTCTGTTCTCCATTATATGCTGTGATCATTTTTTTTTTTCAATATCTTTTATTTGTTTATCTTTGGTGGACTATTTTTTAGGAGAATCCATCAGGTAGAGATATTAATCAGGGAGCTCTTATGGTTTTCAACCTCGATTCCTCTGTTTCCAACGATGAACTCCGTGAGATTTTTGGTGTCTATGGTGAAATCAAAGAGGTGAATGAGTGTGTATTACAATTAACATATTGTTCATGTTCAATGGAGTTGCTAACTATAGCTTTTTTGTGGTGCAGATCCGTGATGCTCCACATATGTCGGACAACAAATTTATAGAGTTTTATGATGTCAGAGCTGCAGAATCTGCACTTTGTGCTTTGAACAAGAGTGATATTGCTGGAAAGCAGATTAATCTTGTACCCGGCTGTCCTGGTGGTGGCTCCATAAGGTGAATCAACATTTTTACTTAAATCCATAAATTCAGCTTTCTCATTATTCATCAGGAACCAACCTTATATGTAGACAGTTATTACTAATAAAGTAGTTAGTAACCAGTTTGGCTTATTTACGATATTTCTATCTGCCAACTTAAACGGCCAATCTGTCCGTTGTATAGATTCATGCGGCCCTTTTCTTTAGAGTTGGAGCAGGTACAACAGCACAGCCCTACTAATAATTTGTCAACAGGGTTTTCTGGTAATTTTCTTGTATATGTGTACAGATATCTGGTGTATTTTCTATATAACTTGTAATTTCTTATGGGTTGTAATTATGACAACAGTATTTGGGGAGAGCACACCCACCACAGATAACGGAACTATTCTTGGCCCACTTTCAGCAAACGGAGGCCCTGTTACTCCACACCTGGATAATGTGCTGCACCCTGGAGTATCTTCTAGTGTACCTAACCGATTACCATCTCTAATAAGAGTTGAACCTGGAAATCAATCCAGTATTTCTGATCCTAGCCACTTACAGAACCACCTGAAATTTGAGCTCCAGGGGCCGACTAATCTTCATCCTCATTCACTTCCTGAATATCATGATGGTTTAGCGAGTGGCCCTCCCTTTGGTTCTCCAAGCAAGATTGCATCAACTATTGGTACCAGACCACCAGAAATGATTGATGACGTGAAGGAAGGTAGTGATTACCCATATCTTGTTCCTTTCTCATTTCATCTCTTTTGCAATAAATCTCGGGTATATTTATATCTTCATTGTTCTGGGTTCATGATCTTTAAAAGAAACTGTTAGGAGGAAGAACACTGAAGGGGTCCACTGGCACCCTGATTTCCATATGCTTGTATAGCTATTCTTTTGAACTAGTGGAATAAAGAAGATATAATATCTGCAGTCATTCCATGCGATTTGCGTACATATGCAATTCTTCATTGGAAAGTATGATGGTACTTAGACTAGCTTCTTTGTAGGCTTCGTCACATTTAGTTTCTTGTAGCTACATATTGTCACATTCTTTGTATAGCTTTCATGCTGTCACATCTTTTGACTTCCCTGATATATCATATGTGATCTTTGGGGTTTTCAGCTTTTAGTTCCTCTGGAAATGGGAGCTTTCCTTCTCCTGGGCATCATTACATGTGGAGTAATTCACATCATCTACAGCGGCCTCAGCCCATTTTGTGGCCTAATTCACCGTCATTTGTTAATGGGATTGGTGGTGCTACTGCTCATCCTCAACAACTGCATACAATACCCAGAGGTCCATCTCACATGCTGAATTCACTTGTACCTCTAAATAACCATCATGTTGGATCAGCACCTTCTGTCAATCCTTCTCTCTGGGACAGACGACATGCTTTTGCTGGGGAGTCACCTGATGCTACTGTATTTCACCCAGGCTCTCTAGGGAACATGAGAATTTCTGGTAATTCTCCACATCCACTCAAATATGTTCCTCATGATATTTTTCCTCGGGCTGGTGGAAATTGTATGGATGTGCCGATCGCTTCCAAAAATATTGGATTACATCCTCATCATCAGAGGTGCATGATTTTCCCTGCAAGAGGCCAAATGTTTCCTATGATGGGTTCTTTTGATTCTCCTAATGAACGGGCGAGATGCCGCAGGAATGAAGGCAACTCGAGTCAAGCTGATAACAAGAAGCAGTTTGAGCTCGACTTAGACAAAATTGTACGAGGAGAAGATAAGCGGACAACCCTTATGATAAAGAACATTCCTAACAAGTATGTCGTAGTACATTAATATACTGATTGTATTTGCTTATCCTAGATGATAACTCTTCTAGCTTTCTTGTTGATAAATACTTAAACATTTGTCATGGCGGTAGGCGTACTTCATGCATACGTTTTCGGGCAGATGCATAGTTTGACTTTATCATACCATTCTCCTTTAACGGTTTTTCAGAGATAATAATTCCTTTCCCAGGCAAACTTCAGGTTGAAACTAGTTTTTCTGTAGCTCTTATGCAATTGCACATGTTATCTGTTTCTACCAGCCAGAGATCATGCCGCTCGTGCAATATTCTAGATGTTCCTGATTTCTCTATATTCACGTGCCAATTTTATGTTTCTTTTTAATATTAATACATCATGCTCAGTTTGAAGTTGCTCTGCGGATTTTATCTTCGTATGAAAAGGTTGATTCTTGATCTTACCTGACAGGATATGTACAACCATGGAATTTGTTCATGAATAAATGAAACCTGAGATTCTTTATTATCTAACTATGGCTAAGTAATATCACTCATGTATTATGTGCTTTTGTCACTCTTATTTGTTTTGCTTCCAATATTAGGTACACCTCAAAGATGCTTTTGGTTGCCATTGACGAACGTCACAGAGGAACTTATGATTTTATATACTTACCGATTGATTTTAAGGCAAGTTTACTTTGACACGTATAATGAAGCCAGGTGTTTGAACATGATACGAATTTGACAGTGAAAGTCTTCCATGTTTGACTCTTAACCTTTTCTTTTGTTGGCAGAACAAATGCAATGTGGGTTACGCCTTTATAAACATGACAGATCCTTCCCTTATAGTTCCCTTTTATCAGGTAATTTCAGTTGGATCCCTTGTTATTTATTTATTTAATAAAAAAAGTATAAAAGCACCAGTATCAATACTCTTTTTTTCTTTGCTTTTTCAGACATTTAATGGAAAGAAATGGGAAAAGTTCAATAGTGAAAAAGTAGCATCTTTGGCATATGCTCGAATACAAGGAAAGAATGCCCTCGTTGCACACTTCCAGAATTCAAGCTTGATGAATGAAGACAAGAGGTGCCGTCCAATACTGTTCCATACCGATGGTCCTAATGCAGGCGATCAGGTATTGTTTGTATTTTTGATGGATTTGTAGTCTCAATGTATTAATTTATACAGGTTCTTTTGCATTTATGATATATTTAAGTTTTTATATAAATATTCGTTTTATTTACAATATATTTGTCATTGACTGTTACTATTTCATTAAAAAAGAAAAAACAAGAATTCAAAAGGGACAGTAGGTAGCAGATTGGCTTTTAACTTTTTATATGGGACTGAATATTTCTCTATTAACAAAGATGTCAAATTTTTTTCTTCTGGCTATTGCTAATGCAGGTTCCTTTCCCAATGGGTCCTAATATTCGACCGCGAACAGGAAAAATTCGAACCAGCGTCACTGATGATAACTACCGCCATGAAATACCATCAAGTTCTCTAACTGTGGAGGATTATTCCATTGGGGATTTATCTTCTGGTTCAGGCAAAGATTCGGAATGAGTTGTTGCCTACTTTTTTTGTGATGACTAACCTGCTAGAAGTCGATGAGCATGACCTTAATTTTCCTGTATTTTCTTTCTGTCTTCATTTTTCTTCTTTGTTGTATGTATATTACGGCATGGTAAAAAGCACGACTGGAGGGGGTTGAGGAGAAACTTTGTTTCTGGTGAATATGGAGAAGCCTAAAAATTGACAGTGCAATGGCAATGAGGAGCAAACATGGAACTTCGAAATTTTGGACTATAATCTGAGGGGTTTCATTATTCTGTATTATGTATAGAGGGAGGGCTTTTTGTTCCTTTTCCCCCTTTTTGCGCCCGAATTTTCGCATTTCTCTCTTGGCAGTTAGCTAAGTCAGTAGGGGAAAACCTTTGAAGGAATTTTTGTGGTGAATGATGATGATGATGTATAACTCGGTCTGAGTCGAGTCGGTTTTATTAAATATGAGGATATGGTTTGTGCTCATTGGCCCAAGTTATTGCTCCTTCATTTTGAATGTTTGTAAACGTTTATTTATTTTTTGTTTCCTTCTTGCTGCGCCTCATGTTCTTTGAAATATATTTTAGCATTTGAAATTTAGTACTGATAACCGGTTGGACCGGAAACACCACGAATTCACCACAAATTTGTTGTGGCCAGAACAAAATACAAGCATTTGGAAAACGATTGCTTTTTTTTTATTTACCCTTTTCTGGTTCAATTGAAGTTTTAAATGTGAACATCCAATATGGAATCAATAATTTAGGCAGACTTAACAGCTACTAATAGATGGTTAAACAATAAAAAAGTTTTCAATAAATATGAATACCTTGATATTAAAATGTACCAAAAAAAATAACATAAACAAAAATATAATATTTTAGAACATAAGTATACATTTTTGTTACAACTACTCTAATTGACGTTCAGTTACATGGTTGACAGATGCAATATAATAATTTTATGCGTATATTGAATAATATAATGTAAACAGGAGAAACTATATTTCAACAATTAACTAAAAGTATTGAGAAAATGTTTTGAAGGCAAAAGCCACTGGAAATGGACGCTCAAGTCATAAACCGAAGGGTTCATCAAATCTGTGTTTGTGGCCTACATAAGGAACCAACAACAAATTCACTTGTAGTGATGAGGAAAACACACGTTTATTTTGAGTAGAGAATGTCATAGTGACCCGGTCGATAAAGCAAGCAAACAAACGGTTTGCGTGGCTGAGAATCACTAGTATTATTGTTATTCTCATTGGCAGGAACGAAATCGTGATGGTTAACACTGACACTGCCTTTATCGTCACAACTTCGGTCGAGATAAACCACACGTATTGCTACTCCCAAAGCATCCGACAAAGCTGTAATGTGAACATGATCACTCTCTTCACCCATGGGTTCGACTGACGACTTGCAAAACTACATAACATCAAAAAGCGCACAAATTTGTTTATTAGCAGCAGCAGAACCGGATTTTTTTTTTCTTTTTTCTAAAAAATATAAGCTTTACCTCGTATGTTTAAAATAGGAATTTGATTAAAAAAAAAATCATATTTCACAATTTGAAGACATCACATGATACTAATGAAAAACATTAGGCTGTATCTTTTATAGGACAACATATCTGATACTAATGTTTTAAGGGGCTAACTCCATACAACCATCAAACTGACTTTACCAACTGCAGCAAAAGAAAATGAGGCCTCGTCATTTTTGAATTTTGATGTTGAGAATTTTACGATACCAAGAAAAGTTTTAGAGAGCTAACCTGCTCCACTGATGCATTTGTTAATCCTTGAATAAATGGTTCATAGAACTCTGAGCGCTTTCTTATTTCACCAGAAGTAATAAAGCGGAAGAACATCACAACTGGAAAACAAAAATTGTTTGTTGAAACAATTGAAACAATGGATTTTTCTATCCTCATACTCAGTGTCACTCACCATAGTCAGATACCGATTGATCTCTACTCCTCTGCAACAGTTCTTCATGGCTGCCACCATGACAACAGAAATCCACATTCACATCAGATTAAACTAAGAAAGCCAACACTTGCTAAATTTTGATAACCATGAAATACGTCACAAATCAGCAGTAATAATTATTTACCTCTTAAGAGCTTCATTTCCAGATAGCACACTCTCAAGTTGCTCGAGAAATAGCTGGCGAGAACAAATGAGAGGGGTAAGTAGAGAATTAAGTTTCAGAAAGTTACAGCACTCAGGCAAACGAATACCTATCAGTCAACATAAAGCTATCTTTATCTAGTGTAAGAATGCATCTCGATATGCCAGGATACACTATATATCTCTTTGCACATGTCTGTGGGCACATGCATATCTTTGTGTGCGTGTATGCAATCCACTGACACCCCTAATATACTGCCCACATATTGATGAAAGACTAAGTCCCTGAGGCATGGTATGTGATGAAAAACAGGACTGTATTCTGGCATAATTTTACAATTTTAACATCAACACAACTTATATTTTTTAAACAAGCAGTACAGGGACACATGCATAATGTAGTAGGAATTGACTACTCAATTTAAATCTGGTCTAAGTACCGCGAAAAAATCTTCAAAGGTAAATTCAGCATAGCCTAAGCAGAGAAGTGTCTTTCGGCATTCCTCTACATTTGCTGTCACTCGATCAACTTCCACACGGTCTTGTGATTCTAAAATATGCTCCTGAAGGAAGTATATCAAAATCCCAATGTCCAAAAGAAATTTGTACAGAAATATTATCGGAATGCATTGGATCGTACAAGGTAAGCGAACATGAAGCTACGAAAGAAGCAATTTCCATCTCCACGCGTTCGCCTGATGGCAGAATACTGTTCCATAAGAACCTACAGAGGTTGCCACAATTACTAACTGGCTATCAAGCAGAATCGTCAATAAATATAATGTTTAACAATCGTGCACACCTTAATTTTTTCCAACAATACTGAGTTTCCTGATTTGTATTCTGCCGCTAAGGACAAAAGTGGCTCCTGCAATAGTAAAGTACCAAAATCAATTCCAAGTGATCAATTGGACAAGCTAAAGAAGAGTGCAACACTGATTTTGGAAGCCAGGTCTATGCTATGTGCTAACAGTGTATAATAGCTTTAGCATATCAGTTTGACACGTTAGACAGTTAGACTAACTTGATATCTTGGTGAGGAAATACTTCGGTTTTAAATTAGACGACTGACGTTGCGCA